TTCTCATAGTCTCTCTCTCTACAAACAAAAACAAAAACAAACACAAAAACAAAAAATCCCATGGGCTTCATGGGCTCAGAGCCCATGGGATTTACATTTTCCCAAACAAGAGGACAGGAGGGAGCATGAATGACATAGTAAACAGTTAAAACACGTTTTGCTTTTTCTTTGTGGTAACTCCTAGGGTTCTATACAAGAATGCTTTTAATCTTCAAAGAAACAAGTGTTTTATACCTGAATTCCAGGTCCTACTTTCAGATCAAAACTAGTTTTCCCACAGCTTGCTTCTGTGTATTTTTAGCCCACACAAGAGAGTACATAAAATGATTAAACAGGAACCTCCATGACCTTCAGCAACCACATCCGCTGGTCAATGCTGTCACACAGGAAAGCTCATGTACCCATGTTTTCCCCAAAGAGTTTAGACCTTGTTCAGAATGCAGTCAACAAAAGGCAAGATGAAAGATGTCTGCCTGGCCCAGTGGTAGATGCCTCATCACAGGGTCACAAGAACTGCAGAGATTCCCCAGTGTGGAAGGCAGGTCTTCCCCTGGGCTCCCAGTCCCAGGGTCAGGTGTCCTCCGGGCTCCCAGTCCCAGGGCCAGGACAGGACTGTGATGATGCCCTGGGAAACAGCCAGAACAGGAGCTGAGTGCTCCTTAGGGTCCCTGACACCTGGGGAACCACGCAGACGCAGAAGAGGACTCAGGGCAGCTCAGCTCTGTAAAGACTTGACGTCCAGATTTCTGTGGTTTCCCTGATAGCTTCTGTCTTCAGGGCCTGCTGAGGGTCTCTAAATCTCAGAGAATGACCTGGGTAGATGGGCTGTGTTCCTCCCCCAGCCTGGAAGCAGCTGATCACCTTCTGTGAGGTTTTTGCCATGGAGGTAATGGCAACAACCTAACCTGAATCCCCATGATCCAAGAGAAGAAGAGTAACTGTCCATTCCAGACAGCTGACAGCCAAAGAAAGATTAGGAGATGCCATAGTCAGAGCATGCCCTGTGGGATGGAAGAGCAGAGAATTATAACAAAGGAATTTAAGGCATATCAAATGCTGCAGAGACAAACTTCCTAAAGCTTAATTAGATGGTGTTGAAACTAAGAAATTAAATGGAGGAATTTGAAAGGAATATGGTTCCTACTGAGACTGAAATTAGTGAATTTGAGATTAGTGGTCATGTACAAAAAATAGAACATTTAGCAAAAATATAAGAGGGTGAAAAGGATAACAAAAGAGATTTGGAGGGTAAACTGTGTAGACCTAATACCTAATATTATTTCAAAAGGAAAAAAATATATATTATGCAATATTTAAAGAATATATGATAATTAAGGAATATGAGATTCACATTCCCCTTTGCTGAAGAAAATTATAAATCTGTGAATTGAAGTTGGTCACTAATTTTAAGACTGAGTTGATAAGAAAAGATACATCTAGTCATATTCTGACCCAGTAATATATATAAGTGGAATGACTTGGGGACATTTATACAGTGGTATGAAGCAAACATAAAAGGTCCAACGCCTTAATGCCCTAACACACCCCATTGCTTCACTGCCAACACAAACACACCGCATCACAGCTCTCTAAGGGAATACAAGTCCCGTGTCCATCTTTTAGGTCTTATGCCTTCTACTTACCAAGAATAATAAAGTATAGTTATCCAAAACTCAATTGCATTAACAATATTACTGTTTTGGAAAGATTAGGACTTAATTTCAATTATTTATGCATTTAGGAGAATAATTTCCTTAGGATTTTTGTTGTAGTTAAATTTAAATTTGGAAACTTTGATAATCATTATTAACCAATAGGCTACTATTTATGGGAAATAGAACTAAAGAAATAGACGTGAAAGAAATTTCTTCTTTAAAAGTAATATATAGGGCAGCCCGGGTGGCTCAGCGGTTTAGCGCCGCCTTCAGGCCAGGGTGTGATCCTGGAGACCCGGGATCGAGTCTCACATCAGGCTCCCTGCATGGAGCCTGCTTCTCCCTCTGCCTGTGTCTCTGCCTCTCTCTGTCTCTCTCTCTCTCTCTCTGTGTCTCTCATGAATAAATAAATAAAATCTTTAAAAAAAATAAAATAAAAGTAATATATATAGTTTAGTTGACAGTCAGCTTGAAATACCTTTTCTTCTAATAAAGATAAGCCGCTAAGATTGCTCCGAGTGGCTGTTTAAATCTGAAACTGAGCTCTATGTTTTCTCTAGGACAATGTCAGTTAAAACAATTAAACCATTTAAGCATCATTATTGTATTTGTCTTAACCCGAGAATAAGAGGCTAATGAAGAATCCTTCAACAGGCATGAGACTATGAGTAAGACAAGTATAATGATCAGTGAAGATACTGAATTCTAGATCCTTGAGTACATCCACTAATACATCCATTCAATACATCCACTAATGCTTTAGGAAAGTTACAACTTCAGGTCTGAGTGGTGGATACGATGTGGCTGATACAGGCATTTCTGGTTCCAGTTAATTCAGCCCACTATAATGTATGACCTAAGGAAAATTACAGAGCAACAATCTACAAAGTAATCTCTCAGTGAATTGAATAATTCTATCTGCCCCTAAAAACCCACATGCTGCTGTTAATTGGGAGGTCTAAGAAGCCGATGCTGTAAATAAGCATCTATCTGCTTTTGAGCAGTTACCAAGTATCTTTTTTAAAATATCTCATTTTAAAGAATGTCTTTTAGTTTTTTTTTCTGAAAAATTAAGCCTGTTGGTCCAAAAGTACAAGGAAATACAAAATCTGCATCTACTTACAATGGTTCTCGTTATAAACACGTCCCGCTTCCTTACATTACGATTTATTTGTATCTTGGGGTGCATTTATTTATATCCTTAGGTGATTTTGTTCCTGAATTGACTTCTGAGCACTGTATAAGGAAGGGATATGCTGCCATGGGCAAGCATGGTTCTAAGAGTGATGATAGTGCCATAAAAGAAGACAATGCATTTTTCTTTCCATCTTCTTGGTAAATGTTTACTATTGGTTAATTAATTTCCAGGTGTTTTTTTTTTTTCCAGACACTGTCAAAGAAAGAGCATTCTTACTATTGCTCAAGACCACAAATCAGGATCTTAATAGTAAGAATGCTTCACATATTCAAGACTCACTCCTTCCCTTGCCTGTTATGTTTTTGCAATGCATTTTCCATAACAGATATCACCAATAACAAATGTGTTAGCATTTAAGTAAGAAAGAATCTCTCTTCTGGGTCCGGAGATGTCTGAATCGGATAGTACACTGGAGCCACAGGACTGAAGGAGAAGGAGAGTGGAAGAGACAGAGTGCCCTCGCTGGGTGCCGGCTCCCTGTCTGTGCCATGCACCTGTCCTCAAAGGAGACCGTGCACACAGAGAAAACAGCTGAGGCTTTCAGGTTGGCCATAGGTTTAAATCCTGGCTTGGGGAACTCAGAATATGTATTTAGCATCCAGGAGCCTCATTTTCCTCAAATGTGAGTCAGGGACAAGGATAGCCACCTTGAAAGACCCATAAAGATTTTGAGGTAGGTAGGCATTATGTATGAATATGAATCCCCTGCCACAGGGCTGGCAGTATGAGCATCTAGAAAAGGCGTACGTGGGCATAATGGGACCACAGCTTGGGCTTCCTGGACTTGAGTCAGCGCTTCCATCCAGAGCACAGCTATTTCCATTGTGGCTCACACTCTTCCATGCCATCTATTTTTTCCTCTGCTCAGTGGGCTCAATGTCCAGTCCGAGGACTGCAGAAAAAGCAAGAGGAGTGTTACTACTTGCGACCCATCTTGTTTTGCACATTGCTTACTCGTGTCCCATGTTTCATAGAGCTGGAAATATTTCATTATTCCTGGCCATGATCGCCAAGAATTTGAGGTGAGGAAAAGTATACCTCCTCCTCACAGTACTAAATGACTTTCTTCTCTGTCCCATAAAACCCACGGTGCAGAAAAAGGAAACTGCACCTCAGGTGTCATTGTGTTTTTTGGCTCAGCATTCTCTCATATTTCTAGTACTTGTTTTTCCCACTCTGGAATGTTTGGGGCTGATAACATCTCCTCTCTTCTCTTCTCCTGTGAATGGCAAGCACCACTTCTTTGACGGGATCTGCCATTTCCTTCTCAGAGAATATCAAAGCTCTCCCAGGGCCATAGTCTCTATCCATGGCAGGTACGAGGCCACTGTGGCCTAGGTGTTGGCAGAGGCAGGAAGAGACACAGGTGTGGTATCCCGTGGTAGATATGTGCTCACATGTGGAAGCTCACATGTTCTGCTCAGAACCATCAAGTCTTAGTTCATTTCTAGGTGTCAGCAGACATACCTCCTTTCCCTAGCCCCAGGTCACCACTTACTCCAAGTTATCTGACACTCTTGAGCCATATTCTTCTTATTTATTAAAGGAGAATAGAGCCACATTTCTTAAGAGGTATTGTGATGACAAAATAGATGCTTATAATGCACCTTAGGTAGAGTTTTGCTCATAAAGGTGACACAGTAGATATGGCAAATTATGTTGTGCCACTAGAGAAAGTTCTCTAGTTCTATCAAGACATCCCCAAATTTCCAATGAACATGGGTGCAACACCTTATAGAGACTAGTCTAAATTATCCGAGCTACTATGATTCTTTTCTCCTCTCTGTGGTCAGCTGACCCCCAGGAAGTAGATATATCCAGTCCCAAATGATTGTAGTTTGATGTTTGGCACAGTCATCTGAAGGGCAGTGAGAACTAGACACCAGATTGATCACCAAGTTCTACCCCATTCTGCTGGGCCCTCCCCACTGTAACGAGGCTAGATCCAAATGGAGGAGGTTGGGAGGTGGAACCTCTGGCTTTCCCTTTGCCCTCTCCAACATCTGTCTGATTGCTAAAGGAAGAAGACCCTCTTTCGAGTGTTTTCCTCGGTGCACCTTTGTTTAAGAAGCAGAGCCTTCAACGCTACAAATCACACAAGTGTGCACATATGCAAATCCAGATAGGCTGACTATACACTCACTGACCTTCGCAGCAGTCTTGCCACATTCGAAGATCCACCTGCGGTATCTCATCGCAGCTCAGGTAATCCTGTGGGTATTTTGCCTTCACAAAGACATCGGCCTGGACTTGCTGGATGTTGTCACCATTGTCACACAGCACACGGCCCAGGGACGCCTGCCTCAGCTGAGTGAGCTGTGCGGGAGTGAACACGCCAGGATTCTCCTACCAGAATCTGGTGGTCAGCAAGGAGAGGCGCAGAGTGAGGGGCTGAGGGAGCACTGCACTGAGCTACATGCCGAGCAGTGAGAACAGCAAAGAGCTCAGTGAAGGAGAAACATAAGGAAAGGATTATGTGTGTTCTCCAACTAAGCGTGCTTTGAATTGCCTCCAATATTCTATAAAGTTCTTAAATCCTATGCTTTTGAACTATCACTTTCTTTTTTTTTTTTAAGGAAACTTGGTTTATTTTATTTATTTTTTTATTTATTTTTAATTTTTATTTATTTATGATAGTCACACAGAGAGAGAGAGAGAGAGAGAGGCAGAGACATAGGCAGAGGGAGAAGCAGGCTCCATGCACCAGGAGCCCGACATGGGATTCGATCCCAGGTCTCCAGGATCGCGCCCTGGGCCAAAGACAGGCGCTAAACCGCTGCGCCACCCAGGGATCCCGAACTATCACTTTCTATTCAAGTTTTACAAAATGATTCAAAGTAAAGCTTTTAAAAATTTTTTTAAAAATATGTTTTTTAACTTAAAATCCCATAAACTAACTTTAGAACTTACTTGAACAATTTAATATTGACATATTTGCCTAAAAGGGAAATGTTGGTTAATTATTAATACACACTAGTTCACAATATCTATTGGCTAATTAGAATAAATACATTTGATTTCAAATGAAACTATTCAGTTTTAAAACACTATTAAAATGACACCTTGTTCATTCCTTCAGGAAGTATTTCAGTACCATATACCAAACACTTTTCTCATGCTAGGCATACAACGTAAGATAGGAAGCAAAAGACTGTTGCCCCTCACATGTATATGGGCTAAGTTGTGTCCTCTCAAAATTCATATGTTGAAATCCGGCCCCCAGTACTTCAGAACATGACTTTATTTGGAGACAGGTCCATTAAAGAGGTAGTTAAGTAAAAATAAGGTCATTAGGGTGTCATGGGGGAGTTAAGTTCATAATCCAATATGACTAGTGTCCTTATAAGAAAAGGAAATATGGCCACAGACAGGCACACAGAAGGAAGATTATGTGAAGAGAAAAGGAGAAGTTGGTTATCCACAACTCAAGGAGAGAGGCCTCAGTAGGGACCAACCCTCCCAACCTTGATCTAGACTCAGGAACTATGAGACAATACATTTATTATTTAAGGTACCCCACCTTTTGGACTTTGTTATGGTAGCCCTAGTAAACACACAAAAGAGGAAGACAGCTTACACCAAAAAACCAAAGCTCTTCCAAATTTGTTTAGTTTTTGACTACATATATTCTTAAGTTATTATCACTCAAACATATTAGCCCAATGATGTATTGTAATAAATTCGGAGTGCTAAAACTAATTTATAAAAATTAAAAGGAAATATTACACTATGAATGTTTGCCAATGTGCAACAAAAGGAATTAAATGTTACTACTTTCTTTATAATTCATAAATAGAAGAGATTGGGGAGAAACAAATTTAAGTAAAGAATAATTTTTTAGTAAAACTTTAACTAAAACCTAAGTTCTAAGCAGTGTTTTAAGTCTTTTATACATGATTAATCTCTGCAATAATATAAATGGTTGAATTGTCAAACAGGTTCACAAGAATCCTAGCTCTTACCCAAGATTATACTAGTGATTTGGATGATACAGCGAATGCCCTGGAACACATTTGGTTCAAGTAATAGAAGAGAGCTAATAGTGTGTCCCATGCCAATCCTGGGAGGGTTGCTTAGTTTTTCAGTTTTCTTAGTTTTTATACTTAGTTAGCCTTGCAACGAAGAGATTACATGAACTTACATCTTCTGCCAACTGTCTTTTATAATTTCATGAATTCAAGTTGATTTACAATCAACACTTTAGGACAAACCAAGAGGTTTTTAGGAAGAATTCCCAGTTATCTTTCCACTAGTAAATGCCTTTAACTCATAGTTTTGCAGAGAGGTCTGGTCAATTGGTCTTCCATGAGGATGAAGGGATGGAGCTGCAGGCCTGATGTCAGCTCCTGCACTGCCAACATCATTTCCAGTTGCCACAATCTCTGAACCTAAGATACTACTATTAATCAGACTTTACAGATGAGGAACAGGTTCCAGGTGTCACGCTTCATGAAGTTAAAGAGATGCGAGTAAAGATGCTCAGATTTCAATGCATGGTAGTGACTCTAGTGCATCCTCGTAACCACTGACTTCTATGCTTTTCCTAGACAGCATTTTCCTATGCTTTTCTTTTTTTCTTACAAAGATTTATAAGAATTTACAAATATGAATGCTATCTGGTATTATCAATAGTCAGAAAAATTCTGTGACCAGTTACTATTTGTTATTTCTCATATTCAAAATATTTTGAATCTCAGAAAGTATGGAATCACACTTATAATGTTATTGTACACCTATATTTTGTTATCTTTGATAATTATAACAGATAATTCTTCACCTATCTCCATCTCTTAGCTGCTGAAACTGGGTAACAAACAGGCACATAAGTGTTGGTCCCACTCTTGTACCAGGGATCAGGTCTTCAACCATGAGGGCGGGCCAGAAGTCAATGTTGCCTGGGTTACCATACAACCTGAAACAAAGACATACAGATATCACATGCTGGAATGTTAAAGAGACAATGACAGTATTACACGAATGACTCTAAAGCATTTTCTTAAATTTATACACACTAAAAAGAAAGGCAGAGATTTTTATGATTCCCATTCCACAGGTAAAAACTTTGAGATGATGGGATCACCCAGCTGGCCAGGGAACAAAGCAGTGACCTAACCAAGAACATTTAACATCAGTCATGTAACATCTACTGTGTTCTTCTTTATAATTATCCTATAAGTATATGGAATATAATTCTGTGTGTGTATATATCTCTATCCAACTAATTCTTTCAGAAACATGTAACAAATAAGCTAATAGCTAAATTTTTCCATGTCAGTGTATATGATAAGTGTGTTAAACAGAGTAAAAAAATAATTTGTGGAAATAATATAATGTGTTAGGGAAATTTTCTCTTGTTAAAAAGACAATGACATTTGATTTGGGATCTGAAGTGATTTTTCAAAATTAAAAAAAAGTCATAATGCAAATGACAATTTAATCAAACAGCTTTGGACACACCATCAATTTAAAGAAAGAAAATAAGACCAATAAGTACCCATGAAACTCCTTGTGAGAGTGGCTGAGACTGTTTTCTCTCTGTCCTCAAGGATAAACATAGGAAAAACTTGACATGTTCCATACTTTAACCATTTATTTCATATGTGATTCCATAGACACCATATAGTTCAGCCTCATATGTTTTAACCTTGACACAGATAAAAAAAATAATGTTCATACATCCTTTTTTTTCACTCAACAGTTTATTTGGAGATTCATTTGTATTGTTGCACTAATTTGCTTCCTTTTCTCTAGTCTATAGTAGCCCATTGGATATTCTTCCAATTTAGCTGTCTATTCTACAGGTGCTGAGTATTTACAGTGTTTTCAGCTCTTTTACTATGAACATTGTCATACATGCCTCTTCATATGGACAAAGGTCTCACTAGACCAGGCATCTGTAAATTTTTACGACAAAGGATGAGACTGTAAATATTTTCAGCATTGTGGGCTACATTTTGCAATTACTCAACTTTTTCCCTTTTCCACAAAAGCCGCCAAAGACAAAACATAAAAAATGGACACAGATTTGTTCCAATAAACCTTCATTTACAAAATAAAGTAGTGGGTTAGATGTGGTCAATGAGCTGTGATTTGCAGATCCCTGCTCTAGAACATGCTGATGCGAAAGCTTCAAATACCAAGTGTGGAGCATGATGTTTTTTATTTTAATAGGTAATGCCAAACTGCTGTCCAAAATATATATGCAGTTCATATTCTCATAATGAGCAAATAGAAGTTCTCTGTGATACATATCCACATGCATATCTTCAATATTAATAGACAGTGCCCTTGCACATTGAACTTATTTTTCAAATTTTCTGTTTAGTTTAATCGCATGGCTACTCCCCTTCTTCTCCTTTCCCCACTCCTCCTTCCTTCTCCTCCCCCTTTGGCCCCTCTTCTGTTCTTCCTCTTCCTCCTGCATTTCTTTTTTTAATTTCTCATGATAGCTGGGCTTTTTATATCTCCAAGTACTTGTTTGAGTGTCTGAGTGCTTGTTTAATTCAGATTCAAGTGTTGTATTATAGAGTCCTTCTGTTTCAATTTTTTTTTCCCTGGGAGAATTTTTCTCTGAAATGTTTTGATTTGTATTTTTGTTTTCTTGCTACATAGCTTTATTTGAAATAAGCTTTCTCTCTCTCTCTCCTTTATTCTAGGCATTTCATGAAATGGATTTCTAGTTCGGCAGCATACTCTTCTGTCACTGCCATAAAGTACAGCATTCTTGATTGCAGTGGGAGACAGCAGGCATTGGTGGGTTGTATTTCTCTTTCATTCCTACAGCCATCTTCCTTTCATTTCATTCTGCATTAGCTTCCTATTAGATCTGCAAGGGTGCTATCATTTCTTTCCTTAACTTCTGTCACCGAAACATTGCTACTTCTGGTCACTTTCGGCCCTGTGACTGGTGGTGTAGACTCTGGGAATTTCCAGAGCTACATTTGGTGAGTCAGCACTTACTGCAGAACTTTGCCTTTCTAGAGAGATTTCTTTTTTTCTCATAGTTCATCCATGCCCTGATCCCCTTTCTTTTGTCATCAAAGATTTTTAAATTCTCCAACCTTCTCTCCAGGCCCACAGACTTACCGTGGAAGTGGAGCTTCAATGGCAGCTCTGTTGGAACTTGGTGATTATATTCAAACTTAAAGTAATTTGAAATTCATGCCATTCTTGCCTCCTACTAATTCTGAATGTATGAGTCATGTGTTATTTGGTGTGTGCTCTTTGTCAGTCTGATAGTTTGTAGGAGGCCACATTAAGAGATTTAAAATCAAATGTCCATTATTTTTCTAAGACTAACTTGATGGGTATGAAACGGTATTTCATTATCATTTTTCATTATCCTGATTAATTAGTTGAGCATCTGCTATATATTGATTGGGCATCTTATTTTTACATAAAATGCCTATTTATACCATGTCTTTTTCTCATTTTCCTATTGGATTATGTTTTTCTGTCTTACTTCAGGAGTTCTGAATATATTCTGTAAGCTAATGCATTATTATCTATGTTCAAATGGATTTCTCAAGTTTGGGATTTTTTTTAAAGATTTATTTATTTATTTGAGGGGGGAAAGGGCAGGGAGAGAGAGAGAGAGAGAGAAAGAGAATCCCAAGTAGATTCCCCACTAAGCATAGAGTCCAATGTGGGGAGTCCTCCATCCCAGGACCCTGAGATCATGACCTGAAGCCAAATTCAATTCAGATGCTTAACTGACTGAGGCACCCAGGTGACCCAACAGGACTTTTTGTATTAATTACTTTCATTATGTTAGACTTTGATGAAAATACTGTCTAAATTTTAAGGCTAACTTTATCAATTCATTATAATTTTTTAACTTAAAATAGAAAACGCCTTTCTTCCCCAATGCCATAAAGATATTCTCTTGTATATTTTTAAAAGTTTTAAACTTTTGTCTCTCAGATTTAAGTCCCTCATCTATTTGAAATTGATTTTCAAATGTGATGTGAGATAGGAATCCATACTCATTTTTATCTATGGATAGCCAATTTTTACAGCACCACTTATTGAGAATGTTCTCATTTCTCACTAATTTGTCTTGCACTACTTTCAAATATCATGGTTCCACACAGAAACACATATTTTTGTGTGTGGCTTTCTATTCTACTCTATCAATCCATCTGTCTATTCTTGAATCAATATCACACTACATTAATTACTAAAAGCTGTATAATAAGTGATGCTAAGTGGAACATCAAATCACTCAATTAGATTCTTCTTGGCCGTTTTCTCTATCAAGTTAATTTTAAAATCAGCCTGTTGGTGCCACAACAAAGAACTATTAAGATCTTAATTAAAGGGATCCCTGGGTGGCGCAGCTGTTTGGCGCCTGCCTTTGGCCCAGGGCGCGATCCTGGAGATCCGGGATCGAATCCCATGTCGGGCTCCTGGTGCATGGAACCTGCTTCTCCCTCTGCCTGTGTCTCTGCCTCTCTTTCTCTCTCTCTGTGACTATCATAAATAAATAAATAAATAAAAATTAAAAAAAAAGATCTTAATTAAAATTACAATTTTAGGTGAATACTGACACATTTGAATTAATCTTTTTTTAAGCTTTCTATCATGTGGTCTTTATTAAAAACTAAAACACAGGAAAATTTAACAAAACATTTTGATTTCAGGGATTTGCCCAAGCATTTTTTTTTTAATTTCTAATTTACTTGTGCTTACAGAAGGATTTCATCTGCTTTTGCAAATTCACTGGTCATAATGAGGACATTAAAAGACCAGCTGTTACCAAAGAAATTTTGTATCTGCAATAAAATATGCACATGTAAAAGCAAAGCAGAAATTCACCACATTTTGTGTGGGACATTTTTATAAGCCTACATAGTCATAGCTATCCACATAGATCTTAGCAAAATTTTTCATTTAAAAAAATTATCCAGATAGTTGTAAGAAAGGCGGAACCTCCCTTTCTTCTCTACCTTGTGTTGTGTATGGCTTACCATGAAGTCCATATTCATGAAAAATGTCAGCTCTTTATTTCATTATGTTTTCTGTTTACCTCTGATTATTTAGGAACATTTACAGTCAGTATTAAGCTTCAAGGCAAAGAAATGGAAATGGTCTTTTTCTGTAAGTCTTCTTTCATTTTTGTTCAGTAGAATTACTGAATCTCAGTCCTCCTGAGCAAAATCCATGTCTCCATTTCTTAAGTACTCTTTAGTAACTACCCTGAGAGTTCTTTGATATCAGAGAGGGTGACAAACATGAGAAACTCCTAACTCTGGGAAACAAACAGGGGGTACTGGAAGGGGAGGTGGGTGGGTGGATGGGGTGACTGGGTGATGGGCACTGAGGGGGGCACTTGACGGGATGAGCACTTGGTGTTATGCTATATGTTGCAAATCAAACTACAATAAAAAAATATACAAAAAATGTCTTCCTAATACATTGCACGGCTTTTGTTAATCTTTTCTTCTCAGTTGGTATTGCAATTTGATTTTTCTTATATTCCTTAGTTTACTATGTACAGAATTTGCAAGAAATAGTTATGATAGTTTTATTTTATCATTTCCAGTATTTATCTCTTTCTTATTTTACTGCCTCCCTATGGTTTTCAATACAATTTTGAATATTAATCACAGTAGTTGCCATCCTTGTCTTATTCATGTGTTTAAATGAAATGCTTTTAACATTTAATCAATTGCAGTAGATTTTTTTGAGCTGCTCTTTATTAAGTCAGGATGTTCCATTTTCTTAAAATACTAAGAGCTTTTCTTAAATTTAAGAGAGATGCTGCATTTTACCTGAGATATTTTTTTCTACAAACACTGAAATCACCATTTTTCTTTTTAATATTCATGACATAAATTCTATCAGCACTTTAAAAATGTCAGATCAATTATATTAGCAGAATAAACCTATTTTCATCATGTTTTATATATA